GTGCATCTTGCAATAACCATCCATTTTCAAGATTTTCATATGCTTATATACTTAATTTTAACTATTTTTGAAGTTTAAAATTTTATAATTAGGTATGAAAATCACTAACAGTCAACAACGGAGAAATATAGTGTTTTAGAGAGATAATAAAAAACTCATAAATATGTTTAATGCCAATGTATGCTCGATGGTGGCAGTTAATGAAGTAGATGATGCATCTGAAATTCATCGATGGTGGCAGTTAATGAAGTAGATGATGCATCTGAAATTCACCGGCAGTTAACAACTAATAAATATAGCTGCATTTTTTAGAAAGAAACAAGAATTGAGAAGAAAATTGTAAGAAGGCACATACATGGAGATCTGAGACTTCCACCGTCCACCATCAACAAAAGAAGATGAAAGAAGAACATAAAGCCAAACTTTCTCTCTCTACACTGTTGCACCTTCTTTTATAAACTCACAAACCACAAGATCACTTTCCTAAAGATCCTTACCAAGTTATCAGTAACGAACCATTCTCCAAAGAGATAACCGTCCACCGCCGTTAATCTTAGGATGCAAACCCTCCAAAACGTGATCTAAAAGATTTGCTCTAAAGTTATGCTAAAATGACCCTAAAGGTGAATAAATAAAAATACCTTATCAAACTTTACCACGAAAAGGACTTTATCAAATTAACCCAAAAAGCGAGAGTAATAGTATTTTCTAACAATTACTATAAAAAAAAGAAAATTCATCAAAAAAAAAAAAAAAGAAAATATTTAAGTGCCCTAAAAATGAGAAGAATAAAAACACTTAATCCATCCTTCCCTCGATTTTCATCATTCTCTCATGGTTGGAAAAAACTCATCATTGAGATTTGAAATGCATTAAAATAAAATTTGCGTGAGTCCCGTAACTTTCTTCATCCTAAATATAGTAAACACGATCCTAGTTCTTGATGAGAACTTTCAATGAAGGAACCAACATTACCTATTGATTCTCCTTTGAATACTTTATCTTATTCTTTATCAAACATCTCCCTAAACTCGAGCTCCTCTAGGTTTAAGGCATTATCTTGCTTTTCTATCTCTCCATTGATGAAGAAATTAGCTATCATTGCTGCCTCAAGACCAACTTCATTCATTTCATCTTGTTTTTCATAAAAAATAGGACCTTCATCAAATATGGAATCACTCGTGCTATCAGAAAATGATGATTCAAATTGAAGATCCAAACCTATTTGTTCTTCATTAAACTTAGATAGATCAACTTTAATATTGAAATGATATGGAGCATGTGCATAACAAGCTCTCAAAAACAGATTATGACTCATGACCATCAACATAGTATGTCGGAGTTGGGTTTTGCGTGAAGCGTTGGGTCAGCTCCTCAACTCGCCTTTCCAAGTCTTCTATCTCGATCTCGTTCACAATGGATGGGCTTGTTCCCTCAACATCGCCCACGTCCACCAGCCATGATGCCTTCTTTTATGTACAAAAAAAAAAAAAAACAAAGACAGCTCTTGCTACACAATTGGTTCAATTGTAGAGGTAGTGGCATTCAATGGGGGAAGCACTTCAAAGAGCGCAAGATCCAATAAATCCCAATAGAGTGTCTTTAGTGCTCTTTCTCCTATTGAAGGACCGGAATTAATGTTGTTTTTTGATCTTTTAAGGAGCTCACTAACACCATCAATGTTAGTGTGGGCTACTTTACAATGCACAAGGACTGCACTCTTTTTTTTTGTTGAGTGATGAAATTAGTTAAGAGTTATTATGGTCTTTTTCATATCGTTGTTTTGGATATTTGAACCATGTACTTGTACCTCTCTCTCTCTTTTTTGTAACAACCTGATGCTGGTCCCGCCTAAGCAGGGTCTTGGGAGGGGTGGGTTGGATACAGTCCCAACTTTTGACTTATGCACAAAATAGCCGATCTCAAGACTCAAACTCGCACTGTTGTGCTGGCTACCTAAGCCTTTTTACCATCACCCCAAATGGTGACCCCTTTCTCTCTTTTTTGTAATACAACTTGTACTATGTTATGGATATTTATACTATGTACTTGTACTATGGGGACTAATTGGCTGAATTTCTTAAACAGTTTCATTGGATTAGTTTTACTTGTACAAGCTCGAGATGTTACTTGAAGAACTGATATGATTAGAAGCCTTTCATTTGAGCTATGCACTTGTACTATGGGGATTTGTTAGATTTAAAACTACCCCAAGTAACACGATGAATTTGTTTAAGAAATGGTTCTTTCATATGATGCAAATAGTAAACATGTATCTTACAAGATGCTATCCAACCAGCAAAAATTAATTTTCTTTGATCCAAATGACTCCTTCATTAATTGGCAAACACATACTTTCTCATTACTTTTCCAGATCTAAATGCCTTCAGTTTCTCGATTTTCTACAACTCGCTTTCTTATTATCTCGTTCTAGTAAATTAACATTTCTTTTGGGTGAATGGTATGTTAGCTTTCTTTTATTAAAAAACTTTCTTTATATAGTTGGATTTGGATGACAAATAAGAGAATAATTTAAGGGGAGATAGACGTGATTTTCTAAGCATACTTGATTACTTGTGTATGCTACTTTTTGGTGTTGTTATTTTTTTGGGGAAGCTTTATGTACCTCCCGTATGAGTATTTCGCCCTATCTAACCATCTATTCTGAATGCACGGTTGAGGTGGTCTCAATCACAATGTCACTTCTCTACAATATTTTATTTTTAATTTTTTTTACAAAATATATTGACAAAAAATTTTGAGCGTCCACTCCTCTTAAACTCTCAACTGTAAAAAAAAATATAAAAAAATATTCTCAATAAAATAAAATAACCAAAATACCTCTGAAAGATTTAAGCGGTATTTTGGTCATTATATTTTATCAAAAAAATTCTTTTTAATATTTTTTTAGGTGCGCCCCGTTGAGATAATGACACGTACTAAATTCCATATCCATATAATTTATAGAACAATATATAAAAATAAAATACTCTGAGACATCATATCTAGATCAAATGGTCAGTGCCTCATCTAAATTGGATGGCTAGATGAAGAAGTACTACCTTCTATACAGTACGGAAGTATAGAAACCTTTCCCTATTGTTATTTCTAGTTGTTACAGTAGCATCAGTAGTTTGGTTCTTGGTTGTTTAATGGCACAATTTGAACTTATGACGTAGTAAACTTCATTGAATTTGGTTACCTGTTATGAGAGATTCTTAAGGAGTTCTTAATATGTCGGCGTGATTGGGATAGGTTGATCAGTAAAAAGATATCGATTTAAAATTGTTAAGGAGGGAGAAGGGGGGCTAGGGAAGAATTTTAGAAGTGAATTGGAGAGGGAGAGAGAAGTTTAAGAGAATGGGAGAGAAAATGATCTCCTTTAGTCATATTGGGATTGTATACCATTATCATCATCTTCAACGTCTTTTTACACGAATTTTGGTCTACCATTCTGTTTTATTTAAGGGGTATACCTTTAATGAGGTTATAAGTCCCATGTCTTTTATCACTACTTCCAACCATATCCTTTTGGGTTCATTTAGCTTTTTTTAGCTTTTTATTTGAACTAACTTGCACCTCCTAACAAATGTTGTATTAGGTTTATACTGCACATAGCTAACCACCTAAGTCTACGTACTATCATCTTATCACATATTGGTACTATATCTAAATTCTCTTGAATATATTTATTTTGAATTCAATCATTTCTTGTCTTATCACTCATCCATCTCAACATCCTCAACTCAGCTACCTTCATTTTGAATGTTCGTCGTTTTTTGACTGCCAACAACCTACTCCTTAAAAGAAAGTTGGTCTCACAGCGATTATAGAGAACTTGCATTCAACTTCATTGCCATGCGACAATCATATAAAACTCCAATTGCACATCTCCATTTCGCCGACCCAGCTCTAATTCTTTGTGCGACATTTTCCTCAATCTCTCCATTTTCCCAGATTATCGATCCAAGATATCGAGAGTGCCTCTTTTTGGTATTTCTTAGTCCTATACTTCTATTATTATACGACGTCTTCCTCAATCTACTCATATTATTATTAAATATGCATTCTATATACTTTGACTTAATCCGGCTAATTTTCAAACTTTTAGATTCTAGAGCATCCCATCCAAAGTTCTATTTTTCTGTTTACGTCCTTTCAGGTCTCATCGATCAAAACGATGTCATCTACGAACAACATATACCATGCTATCTCATCATGCAGGTGTCAAGTTAAGGCGTCCATTACTGAGACAAAGAGGTATGAGCTCAATGTTAACCCCTAACATAGACATCTTCTCACTGAAAACGCACTTGTCTCTCTACGAGTTGCTCGCACACTAGTTAGTGTTCCCTCGTACATATCTCTCAACAATATGGATCGAAAATAGCCAGCTTAAAACACTACTCTAAACCCTTGACTACAGCAATCTTGTGTGCTTGTTAAAAGAAATTGATACGACATTTATATTGAATGGTTGTTAAAGAAGTTAGTCAGCGGACAGTGCAGGCCGTTTCATAACTTATGTAATTTTTTAGGTAATTTGGTAATTAAAGATATTAAGAATGTATTATTGTTTTGTTTGGGGATTGTATACAATGAAACCAAAGAACCATCTAATTTCATATCGAATGGAATAAATGCAACCATCTAATTTCACATCCAATAGTCAATGTTAATTGTGACCACTTTATACTAAAGATAAATAGTATACTTTTCCCTCTTTGTTTTTTTAACCCCTTCAAGTCATTAAAAAAAGAAACAAAAGGAATATTGAAATAGGTATGGAGAACTAGAAGGATGGTCACCTTAATGCATAGTCGCGAAGGTCATCACCGTCGGATCACTGGTCAGGCAGCTGATGGATGGAGATTAGGTGACAACAATCATGTCCATTGGTTTTTAAGCCCACTCTCTTCCATCACCGTCCAACCCAGTGGATCTAACGGTTATAAATGATATGATCATCCGGTCACGATGATCACTAGTTGCTTCCCCGGTCTTCAGATGGAGAGACGTTGAAGTAGCTCAAAGTACCAGGAAACACCTGTCTGAAACAAAAACCCTAAGGGTTTTGGCCATCAAACCAGTGTTTCAACCCGTTAGAACTTTAGGGTTTTTCTTTATTTTTGGGAGATCTGAAACTGTTAGCAATGTATCAGAGAGAGGGAGTTGTAGTACGAGTACAAATTATAGGGTTTAGACCGATTTAAAGTACCCGGTTTTGATATATTTTTTTACTTGTTTTTCTCTAAGACTGATAAGAGACATGGTTCGTGAAGGTTTGAGGAGCGGGAAGAGGGATAGTCTTGGAAACCCTAAAACCATTTCCCCACGGTCACAGGAAGCTCAGGTATTTTTCCCTTTACCAAATGCATGCAGTAACCTGTACTTTTCTAAATGGGTTGACCTGGATTAATTTGAGGCATTTTCTTCCTTTTCCTTTGTGTCCTTTTTGTAGGTCTAAAAGCTGTTTTGAAGTATCTGATTTTCCCTTTTTTGGGATTTTGTGGGTTCATGATGCATCATTCTTCAGTGTTTGTTTGTTTCTCTTTTCCATTACTTTGAGGTTCGAGCTTTTATTTTTACTGTAATTTAAGTTTATTTTAAATGGACTTGGTAGATAGATTTGTAGCTGGGGTTTTGAATGTGATGGCTAACAGGATAGATCTTGAGTTTGTATTGATGTCTGGATACCTGCTTCTTCATCGCTGAATAAAAAATTATCAATATATTTCTTTAAGGATAAAGTTCATATATCGTCGCAACCTTACCCTTGAAGTAAGGTGCACACCAAAAATCCTCCAAAAGAGAGTTTCTTGACATTGGAGAACCCTCCAATTGATTGTTTGTAACATCAGGACTACATTTCCAATTTTCCATGCAAATTTTAGATATGCGCTTTACTTCCACAGAATAAGGAAGCCACCTTATACAAACCTTACCCTTTCTTTAATATTCTGAATATTCATGAAATTGGATTCTTGTGGGATATTTTGATGGGTTTTCTCAATGCTGACTGGTTTATTTGTTAAAACCACTCTCCCTGTTCAGTTTTGACAGTAACCATGCGGATTTTTTATTTATTCTATGTTTTTATTGATGAGATTTTCTTTAGAATTTAATTCTAGTTGATTGGGCTTTTATAATGGGTTCAATCACGGGTTTTCCTCTGTATTGGACAAAACTACTGCTGAACACATTCATTTATCATTTAACTAAATAACCTTTGTACCGGTTTATTTGGTTTTCTCAATCAATCTCATGTGTCCACTTTCTTCCTTTCCATTTGTGTGTCAACAAATTCCATCAAATTCATTTCCTTTTCTCGATCATTACTGTGAGAACTGCTTGCTCACATGCTGGAATTTGAGTAATTGCAGAGCAATCTGTTGGTTTTAATTTCTTTTTTTTACGTATGAAATTCTCTTTTTCTGTGCTGAAAAATCATGGAGAAATATTTTTCTTTTCCTTTCAGAGAACTTACACTCGTGGTTTCTTATTTGAGATAAAACGATGGGTTTTTCAGTGTTCTTTCGATGGATTGCTAGGTGTCAATGTCTATTCTATTCAATTACCTTTTCTCTAGAGTGGAAACAAAAAATTTAACAAAGGAAATTGCATTTGTATTTGGATATTATCTCTTAATTACCTTGTTAGTTGTTTAGTACTGTTTTGATGGGTATGAACAAATAACGGCTGACATTAATTATCTTTCACCAGGTTAGCAATGGGGCTTTATCTGTTTTAATTCGTGGTACCTCTACATCTAAGCTGTCCGAAGGATGCGCAGCTAAATTTAGAAAAACTACAGATGTAGAAGAATCCCTCACTGTATTGGTAACTATGAACGAGCAATCCCAGGTCTTACATAGCCAAGAATCAAATCGTGCAAGTGGTGTGACAGAAGACCCATGGCTTGAGAAATTGAGTGGTACCCTGATTGCGGAAAATGAAACAACATCAGATGGACAGGTAGAATTGGAGCCTTTTAATGTTCTTGAATTTTAGCTTCTTTCACTTTACATTGTTCTTTATTTATATTTCATTTGCTTTAAGTAATGGGATGTAGAAAACCACGACCGATGGGGGTTATAACTGCTTCACTATTTTTGCTTGTCGCAATCTCTCTCCATCACCATCCTTTATTAACACTTTACCATCAGACAGGCATGATCCCTTTGCACTATAAACTCCAATAGTCCATTGGAGGATAGCATACATTTTCCTTCATATCGGTTACCCTTGTTGTCACTATTTGGTAGTGTCCATTTGGCCATTGGAGAATTTCATCTTTAGTGTGCTAAAACTAGGATGTGAATGCTAAGTGTTATATTTATGTCATTCTCTTCTTTCTTTACAATATCCAGGCGTCACCTGCTTCTGGATCGGCATCACTGCAGCAGGCACAGGTAGCAGGTGGGACTAATCGAAATAAACTTGCTGTAGATGATGACATAGATACACTCATTTCTTGTTTGACTCGGACCATTACTTTTCTAAATGGTTGTATGGCGCCTGCATATGGGGACAAGACCCCAATCTGTGTTGCATATTGGCTTAGAACTGCAAACGGAGCAGCTGAACGTTCACGAATGTGGGCTTCAGAGATGCAAGCAGCTTTGGATGCGGCTCGACAGGAAATTACCTCTTTGTGTAGGAGTGTAAAGGAGGTGCACGCAGAGACATCCGGGACACGGGTGAAAGAGGCAGGCCCTCAAGTAAAGACAACTGAAGATGATTCATCGAAGTTACAAGCCAAGGTTAAGGTGCTGGGCTCTCAAACAGAGACGGCTCGAGGAAAGGCATCAAGGGTTGAGTACAAGGTTAGGGAGATGGATTCTCAGATACAGGCAGCAAACTTAAAGACATTTAGGGCGGATGTAAGAAAGGCAGCACAATTTCAGGCATCGAGGGCAGAAGCCCAGGTTAACAAGTTATGCTTACATTTAGCGGAGGCCAGGGCAGAGGCATGGAGGGCAGATGCCAAGGCCAATGAATTACGCTCTCACCTAAAGGCAGCGCGGGCAGATCTGTCAAGGACACGGGCTGAGGCTAAGGATGCACATCGTCAAGCAGAGGCAGCGCAAATAGAAGCATCGAGCGCGAATGCGAAGGTTGAGGAGGCATATAGTCAGCTAGAGTTAGCGCAAGCAGAGGTCCTAATGATGCAAAGCAAGGTTGAAAAGGCATGTTTTGAGACGGCAGCACAGGCAGAGGCCTTGGGGGCAAAGTTGGCAGTTATGAGAGCGCGTATTGAGATAGAAGCAACAAGAGCAGAAGTGTTGAGATCACAAGCTGAGGTTAAGGAGGCACATTGTCAGATTGAGGCAGCGCAAGCAGATGCATTGAGTGCTCGTGCTGAGGTTAAGGATTTGCAGTGTCAAATGGAGGCAATGCAAGCAGAGGCACTGACCATGCAGGCTAAGGTTGATCGGCTTATGAGGGAGCTGGTGAGTTTCTTCTTATTTGTTAAGTATCGACATTGTACTTGAAATGCTTACATAAATCTTGCAGGTAACCCTGGAACTAGAGATGTCAATTAGGGGCTGGAACCATCCTGTTTTCAATAGACCATTTCACTCCTAGTCATCTTTGTCTTACCTCTCTGACTCATCCCGAATCCAAATTGAGGTAAAAGTAGTAAATTGAAAAGAAATATATCTATTCAAAGTACCATCTTAATATATCAAGATTCTAGATAACGTGCATGACTATAGAAGTATTTTAAGTTTGTCCTGATTTTTCCGTCTTTTATTTCTTGGTACTCTCTTTTTATATTTGTTCTACCTCTAAAATCTGGATGAACAATACAAAAGCAACTTGAGTCTCCAAGTTGATTGAGTCTCTTGATATTGGACGCTTGCAGCTTTTTCAATATTTGACTTTTATGAAACAAAAGATAATAAAATGATATGAATATCTATTACATTATACAATACAGTCTTTAAACAGGACTTTTGTATCTATAGGGTTGTGTGATTGGATCGCAAACGCTAAAATAGGCAATAGCAAGAAGTTATTAAAGAAGTTTAGAACTTCTTTTCTAAGTTCTGGCCATAATATGATTTGGAAGGTTCTTGTTGTTGCAACGTTTAGGCTGTGGACTCGAATCCAGCTTACCGAACAGAAACACTTGTACTCACGAACACAGAAATGCACAAAAAGAAAAAAGAAAAATGAGGCCTCTATTTCTGACCGATACTCTTTATCTTTTTTATCATGGATTCTGACTACCTTTATGACATTTCTTATGCAGGAGACTACAAAGAAGCAGACAATGCAGGTCAGTTCTACAGACCACCGCAACGTCATTGCTGAACTCAAGGGTGAGAACAAAGCGTTGCGCTATGCCTTTGAAAGCTCGCTCGGTAAATTGAAGACCAGTTCAAGGTATAAGATGCTTTCATTGAGGAATACAACCAGCTGTAGTGAAACAAGCACCTCATCAAAGTGAGGAAGACATTCGATCTTCATCTTTGCCTTCAAGTGACGCCTAAGTGTTTGGCCCTTCACTGCAATTTTACCTAACCTGCATTAAGTTCTCGATTGCTCGAGTATCAGGGTTAACTCCAGAATATGGGGTAGTCGAGAGAAGGATACCGAGTTATCTTCAGTGGGAAGACAATGGCATTGTATTACTCTGGTCTTTTCGTACAACTGTTTAGAAAGTCTTGTTTATCAATGAAATATTGTTCTTCAATTGCAGTAACCACCTCATGGCACATCCATTTCCATTCTCTTTTCTGTTTTTTACTTTAATTTTTTATTGACACAAAATTACAATAATAATTTGTTGTTAATATACTTTAGATCCCGCCATTGATCGCAAAAATTTGATTTCCAGGGTAAGCATCGGGGTTTTAGGGGACAAGAGAGAGGGAAAGAGATTGAATTTAATGAGAATGAAGTTTCTATAAGGTCTAGGCTTTATGAAAACAAAATAAAGCAGCACTGCAAATCCTCGTCTAGAAAGCAGTTTTGGCAACAAAAGTCTCCACGATGGATCTAAATCTATTAACTACACTGACAATAAAATTTGAAACTAAAAAAAAATGACACTTAATTTCAAGGTGAAATGGATGGTCTAGATAATTTTTTACAATATAAAATAAATAATTTTTAGAGCTTAAAATTATAATTATTTTTCACAACTGATATTTCAAACTGAGATGATCGATGTAAAGGTTTTTGAATGTTTGAATTGAACTGAGATGATCGATGTAAAGGTTTTTGAATGTTTGAATTGTAATTTTTGATGAATCATGAGGGGAGATTTTACTTATTTTGATACAGTTGGAGCCCTATCGGACCGTTTTCCATAGCGCATACACTATGCTCCTTAGGTAGGATACTGCACATCTTGTCTCTCACTCAAAATACCTATCTAGGAGAATTTTCTTAGTGTAAGATCTTTGGAAACACAGATGATTATTTTTAAATGAAAAAACTATGAATTTTAAGTTTTGTGGCACTTAAATCTAGCCCTTTAAAAATTGGGCGGTGTCTATTAAATCCCAAAATTTCAGATCCAAAAAAGTATCAATATGGAGAAAATAAAGAGTATTATCCCTAGAAAGAGGAAATCTTTCCCTTGTATATTTCTACTAAATAAAGCGTAATATATGGTGAAAGCAATGGTTTAAAAAACGGATCGGTGACCCGGATCGGGTTTCCAAAAAACCGATCCGGATCGACGAATCGGCGATCCGGATCGGGAATCGGGTGAATCAGTCAGAATAAAGCTTAAAAAAAATTCAAAAAAA